AAAAGGCTTGGTGTAGTCTGGCAGCACCAACACGGGTTCATTCACCATGGCCTCCTTGAGCTTTTCAAAAGCATCTTGGCATTTAGTGCTCCATTCCCACGCCTTGTCCTTTTTTAGTAGCTTGGTCAGAGGCGTGGCGATCTTGGAATAGCCCTTCACGAACGGTCGATAGTAGTTGGCTAATCCTAAGAATGCTCGCAATTCAGTTACCTTGGTGGGTGGCTTCCACTCATCTATTGCCCGGATCTTGTCTTTGTCCATCTGGAGCTTGCCTCCTCCAACGATATGGCCTAGGAAAGGCACTTCCTTTTGCGCAAACGAACATTTTTCCTCCTTGACATAAAGCTCGTTCTCTCGTAAGACTTGGAACACCCTTCTCAAGTGTTCAATGTGTTCTTCCAAGGTCTTACTATACACAACGATGTCATCAAGGTAAACTACAACAAAACGATCAATAAAGGGTTATAGTACCTTGTTCATTAACGTGCAAAAGGTTGCAGGAGCATTGGTGAGACCGAAGGGCATCACAAGGAACTCATATGAACCGTAGCGTATCACACAAGCAGTCTTTGGTTCATCACCTTCTGCTATCCGAACTTGGTAGTATCCGGACCGTAAATCTAACTTGGTGAACCACCTTGCACCACCAAGTTGATCGAACAAGTCGAATCAATGGGATCGGGTACTTGTTCTTTACGGTGAGCTTATTCAAAGCTCGATAGTCGATGCACATTCTAAGTGAGCCATCATGCTTCTTTTGGAATAGTACCGGTGCATCAAAGGGTGCCTTTGACGGTCGGATGTATCCAGCATCTAGGAGCTCTTTCAATTGTCTGCGAAGCTCCTCTAACTCTGGTGGGGCCATTCGGTATGGTGCTTTGGCGGGTGGCTCCGCGTTTGGCACAAGCTCGATCTTGTGGTCCACCTCTCTCTTCGGTGGCAAATGCTTTGGTAGCTCAGTTGGCATCACATCCCTAAATTCCGCCAATACTTGTCCCACTTCACTTGGGACTTCTTCAGTCATTGTGGGTTCAATTCCCACCAATGAAGCCACAAAGGTGGGTTCCTCCTTGCGCACCCCCCTTTGAGAATTGGATTGCGAACAACATCTTGGCCTCGATTCCGGGACCTCGGCTTACTAGAACAATGCATTGTTGCTTTGGATCCATGATGCACAAGCAATCGGCAAAAGGCACTGGGAAAGCATTTATTCGGTCCAAAACACTTAACCCAAGAACAAAGTCGAAGTCGTCGAGAGGGATTACCTTGATGGCTTCCTTTCCGGACCAACCTCCGACGGTTAGCTCGATTCCCTTTGCGACCCCCACAATTGGAACTTCTTCGGCATTCACGGTTTTGATGGATCCCATTGCCTTCTCCACATGAAGGCCAAGTCTCTTGGCAATTTGTTCAGACATGAACAACTCTGAGGCACCGGTGTCCACCAGTGCGCTCATCTTTTGGCCTGCGACGGTGATGTCTACGTACATCAATCCCTTCTTCTTGCGACCCTTCTTGACCTCCATGGTGCTAAGGATGAAGCCAAGCTTGAGAGTCTCACTCTCCACCCCATCATTCTCCTTGATGGCAGTAACTTTCACAAGTTGAGGACAATCTCTTTTTATATAATTTCCTCCACAACTAAAGCATGATAGTTCACCCTTCTTTTCTCAAGGATTGAAGAGCTTTTTGGGTCGATCATTCGGCTTCCTATGATTTCCAGTTGGCTTGTGAAAGCTTCCTTTGGCCTTCTCTCCCCCACTATTACCTTTGGGTTTTGGCTTGGATTGGAGAGAGTCGGTCTTCTTTACTTCAAACGGGGCAATGGCCTCGGCTGCATCTAACGTCTTGGAGAGTTCGGTCACTCCCCTCCTCTGGATCTCCATGTTGGCCTAACGCTGTAGTCCATCCATGAATGCAAAGTACCCTTCTGACTCGCCCAAGTCCGGGATTTGCATCTTGATCTCAGTGAAGATTTTGACATACTCCAAGATGGAACGGATCATGCTTTAATTGCTTCAATTTTGCTCGAGCCTCGAGCACATCATTCTTAGGATATAAATGCTCATTGAGTTCTCCCACGAACTCCTCCTACGTCCCGATTGGTTTCGCACTCTCGGAACACCTACGACGCCACCATAACATAGCAACATCGGTAAGATAATTGGAAGCAACATTTACCTTGGTGGTATCATCCTCGATACCCATGCCACGAAAGAATTGCTCCATGCCCCATATGAAATTCTCCACATCTTGGGCAGTCCGACTCCGCTTGAACTCCTTCAGCTTAGGGACATCGATCCTGGGTCTTGGTACTTGCGCCTCCCCAGTCACTCCATCCAACACCGCAGCCTTGTAGACAAGCAGCTCACTCTTGAGCTCCTTTACCTCCCGCATTATTTCGACCCTCATGGCCAAATACATGCTCTCGAGGCCTCGGGCACGCTCATCCGCTGTCTCTGCCATATTGTTGACGAGTGTCTGAGTTTCTGCACGAAGTACATCCTCCACAGTCTTTAGATTCTCCAAGCGAGATTCAACCGAGTCTTGAGTCTCTTGGACTTCATTATATCGATCTTCCAACCTGCTGACCCTTTGTTCGAACGAGGCCACCATATCCTTCGAGTTTGCTCGTTTCTTTGGTATGGCAACACAAGTAACTTCGCTTATTGGGGCCTCATTTGGGTTTTGTTGTGCCATTATCACGAAACTAGCTCTGATACCACTTGTCACGCCCTTAGAATTTTGACGCCTCCGAACGTGCGGCCTTAGTCGCCTTCTTAGTGATTGCGGCTAAGTAAGCCTGAAAATATCCCAAGCAAGGATGCTTAGAATCTCGACGGAAGCTAGACAAGAGAACTAGCACAAGAATGAAGATAAGAAAGCTTTGAGAAAATAATGCTCTTATGATTTCTCAAAGTGAATTGAGTGAGTACAAATGAGGGGAGGCCTCTATTTATAGCTAAAACTCCTCTCAATGAACGGCTAAGATCTAATTACATTGACGGTCGAGATTGACTCATACCTACCAAAAACAATGGGCATTATATACATATTTAAATGCCACCTAAGTCTTTGTGGCTTCTAGAAGGTCTAAAACACCACTTGGGCTGCTCTTCATGAGCTAACCTCGGTTGTGGGCTCGTGGTCCGTGACAATAAGCATCGATTACTGCCAAGGAACATTCACTTGATATCATCATACTCAAGGGTCTAGCCTTAAATGGCACGAAAGAACTTCATGAGCCAATCCTCTCATACTCAACAAATTGTATTTTTGTTCAACTTGATAATTAAAAGGTATAATACACAAATGGTTCCTCAACTATAGGACATTGTTTTGTTAAGTTCTCCAATTATTAAAAGTTACAAAATGGTTATTTGATTATTCATATGTTCCAAATTTCTTTTTTCGCAAAAAAAATGATATCAGTCTAAGCTAAACGTTAATATGTTAATTGAGATATGATAGTCGTTTGAGACTTTGTGATCAAATTTTATCATATCACAATCAACAGGTTAGCATTCAGCTCAGACTGCCCTCAATTTTTTTAGCAAAAATAGACGAATTTGGAACATATGAATAGTCAAGTGACTATTTTGTAATTTTTAATAGTTGGGGAACTCAACAAAGCAATGCCCTATAATCAAGGAACTATTTCATATCTTTTAATGGTCGAAGAACTCAACAAAGCAACGTCCTAAGTTCGACAGACCATTTGTGTACTTTACCCAAAATTAAAATATGTGATTATAGTGATATTTGTAATTTTGAAACATAATCAGACATTATGACCAAGTGCATAAGGAATATAGGTATTATGTCATTTGCAAAGTGTTATTCCAGGTAACGTCATTCGTAATTGAGAAACGACATTTGATGGAAACCAAACTCATCTCCTTATATCATATAAAGATAATTTCCGTTTCAGGTGGATAGCTAATTGTGCATGTATTTTACTCTTCAGATGCTACTAAATCTCCCCCCATCATTCACGAGATATCAAGTCCAACAACATCCTTCTCGATTCAAATCTCCAGCCAAAAATCGCAGAATTTGGTCCGGCAAGGACGACGATTCATAATAATGAAACCATTTCAATGGTAGTCGGATCATATGGCTCCTGATATGTTTATGATTTTGTACACAAGGAATATGTTTTCTTTGACAAGAAACCATTAACCAATGTTTTTCGTTGAAACCTGTTTTATGACCGAATATGGGTACACTCTGAAGGTAGTCGACATCTATAGCTTTGGTGTAGTTCTGTTAGAGCTTTTATCTGGGAAACTGACATTAGATCCTTCTTTCCAAGAATCAGTTGATATAGTCGAGTGGACTCGAACAAAGTTAAGAAAAATAGTTAGATGAAGTACTAGATCCGACCATAGCCAACCACAACAAGCATGTCCAAGAAGAGATGCAACTTGTCCCAAGGATTACACCAAGGGACTGAAAATTTCAAATTCTCATATAATAGGTATCTTCTTTATATTTTTTATTGATAATTTGTTTTCACCGCTTAAAATAAAATCCAGGATTGCACTTCTTTGTACTGCAAAGTTCCACAAAGATAGACCATTAGAGACATCATTACAATGCTTGGTGAAGCAAAAGCGTATGCCAAAATGGAGGTCACAATTCTAGCAAAGAGGGTCCCATCTTTAGCAACTGACATGTTATAGGGCTTCTGTAAATTTTTTAATTTCAGGCTAATATTTGGCATTATCTTTCTTTATGTAAGATTTTCTTGAAAAGCAGGCTCAGTTGCAACCACGCAGGCAACGAAGAGATAAATGTTCATATAAAATCAGAAATCCTATTGAATAAAAGTATTTTAATCTTTTACAAAATGCATAATAAACTTAAACTAGATAATATTTGATTACTCTGCCTCTATAACATCAAAGAGATTGCATATATAATAGTACGTATATGTGAATGTACTACATTATATGCATAAGTAATCTAAAGTTGGAACATTTGAGCACAAAATATTCCTCAAGACATGTTTCGTTTTGATAAGAATGTTGGGGAAACAATTACCTGAATTATTACCGAGCTTTTAATCCAGAACAGTTAAAAAAACCGGTTGAGAAGAAAAAATATGGCACCTCTTCTCAATCCGAAGAACGTTACCCCTCCGTACAACTACTTTTGTTTCCTAAGCTCAAAAGATGAAAATCGTTTTCACTTCTCGCCTTTGAGGTATGAATGTCAGAGCCGGATGTTCTCTTTCTCCTACGCCGCAATATCGAGAAAAGTAGTAGCTCCTGATGCACTCCCTTCATCAAGAAAACTGCTAGACAATGGCTGGAAAATAATAACAGATAAAAACACTCAGTGCTTTAGTTAACTTTGAAGTGTAAATTTTCATAGTCCTCATCAATATGGACTCCGATTCCATCACAAATTCTAAAAACTTTGTACGACTAAAATTAGTCCTTAACAATTAAATGTTCACAGTATACCTCGTTATAGTCGACGTGCGATAAGAAAAAAGGCTCCTTATCTCGGAGACCCCCATTTTCATTTAATATTCTTTCCAAGTCCTGCAAAAAAAAGGACCAGTGAAGTTAACAGAACTTGTGATTCCCGAAAAATGTTCGGACCAAACAAATTCAATCACAATGGCAAGCCAAACTCTCTAAGATATTCTACACTTCCCCTAAAGAGGTAAAAAAAGCACCAAACATTAAATATTTAAACATGGTTTCACAATGCAAGTCTAACAGTCTTTTGTCAATGCAATACCAGGGACAACAGAAGACCACGTTTTACTCCCACAGTTTTTTATTATAACTAACTGACTATTCCAAGTTTTCCAACCATAAAATTGCAACATAAGTAGATGACAACTTCAATAAAGCCTCAAGTCAGTTACGAGTTACGACAACACTCGTAAAGTTCAAATTTCCTTGTATAAGTTTATAAAATGAAAGTGGAGGCCATAAAAGAGAAAAGCCAAGTTCTGAAGAATTGTATTACAATTTAATTTAAACGATTTAAACCTAATCGCTTTACCTTTCCAGTCAATATTTCAAACTCAAGCAACTCTTCCACAATCTTTTCAAGAACTCGATGATTTTTCTTAAGCATATCCCTTGCCTTCTCATATGCTAAATCGTAAATCTGCAGGAATTATAAGCATCTTTTTATAGAGATTCAATAAAAAAACATCATTGCAAAATATATATTAAATCAACCTCAATTATTAGTAGCCATCTCGTCATGTACCTTTTCAACTTTAGTAGCCATCTCGAACTCATGATTGTTTCCCATGCTCAAAGCCGTAACCTAATACCAATGAAGGAAAGTCCAGTATAAAAAATCCATTCGGGCCAAAAGAAGAATTACATATTACTAAAGCAACAGCATCAGTAATCCCTTTATCACATTGATAATAATAGAGTGCACACTTGCCTTCAAAAGAATAATAAATAATAAAGTGCATGCTTAAGTATTAAAAGGGCCAACATACAGTAAGAATTAACTATATGGAAAAAAAAATTGTAATGCTATCAGAAAGGAAAACAGCAAATGTCCAAGTGTACATACACGACCACCAGAGTAGTTGCAGCATATATCAATACAACACATCATTCCAGAATTTAAAAATGAACCATGAGCAATTGTTTCAGTATTTGGATCTATAAGGAAATATAGTGTACCGCATTAGTACTGTAGTAGACTGCAGGACTATCATCAGGACCCCATCCATACTGAATCACCATCCTTGTTGCTATCTGTTGCAATTTTCATGGAAGTAACTCAAATGAAAATTGTTTCGAATTCTCCTAAGCCTTGACAAGGTTATTATACTTGCACATATGAAACAGTAAGAACAGGATTATATCAACCTCCTGAGCCTGCTTTAGTTCTGATGCAGAAAGTAAATTTTCTTCTCCAAAAGGCAGAAGCTGTTGGGCTGCAATATGTGACCCAAAGCAGAATACAAGCTTCTTTTCAAGGTAAGACCTTGACTCTGCATTGCCATACATAGACCCTTCATTTCTTGCTTTGGTAATCTTTGTACATCCAATTCCCTGAAAGATGAAGAGAGTTAATTAGTTCTCCTATATTCATCCTTCCCCAAGAACAGGTTGAATACTGACATCTTTAGGCCAGTAAATTATGCAAGAATTATAGATTCACATATTGCACATGCAAAAGCACTGCAAATTGATAAATATAAAAGTTTAAATAAAAGGATGAGCTGACAGACAATATAAAATAACTAGCCATGGCTCATATGTGATTCAGTAATTCCTTATCCATCCTTATTGAACTGAATCATCTTCATGCATGCATTTCATGCCAATAATACACACATTGCAAGTTCAAAATTTAGATTAGGATGTATACTCAGAATGTAATGCTGCTATTGATATTGTAAAAATGATAGGTAAGAACTATATTTTACTTCGGCTACAGTTAAATTCAACAGACTAAAAATCAAGCAAAAACTAACAGAAGTACCAGCAACTTTAGTTTACTCCTAATAAATAAATAAAGCGGTAACAGCCCACCTGCAGTTTTAAATTAAGCATTGAAGCACAATGGTAGCACCATAGTCATAGACTCCTTAAAGATAATAGCACTTACAAAAATACTTCAGAAATGCAATCTGGAGAATTTAGAAATGCTAACCTCCCAGGAACAAGGCTCAAGCCATAGATTATCCACAACATCAAAATTTGGTAGAAGTAGTGCTATGAGAGCACGGCCAGCAGCCCAGACAGCATGTGGGAACTTAGTCTCTCTTGTCCACTACAAACAACCACACTGACATTAAAAAACTTTCATGAAATAAGTAGGTCAATAATTACTGTATTATTGTGAGTGCACGAGTACAAAAGATTAATACAAAGATTTATAACCTCAAACAGTCAAACTACCAAAGAATGCCATTCGCCTAACACATCCACTGACCATTCATGAGAAACAAGTACTCATTTACAGTCTTGTGATTTAATTCATTGCCAAATTTCATCCAGCAAGCCCTTTATTGGCATTCTATAAAATTTAAGAATCTGAGACTAGCACCAGAAATTATTTTTCAATAAAAAAGAATCTAACAGAAAATTATTAATAGCAATGGACTTTAATACTTAAAATGATAAGAAAGTTAGTTACTGACATCAAGGGGAGGATTTAGATATTCTATTCCATTGCTTATCTGACCATATGGCTCCATTAAATCAACCACATTCTGCAGATCATCTTTGGTCAAATTTAGTCCAAGGTGATTCACCAGCATTTGGCTAATTTGCTTGACAATTTTGGTTTTCCGCATCCATTTTGGGATTATGCTGCTGAAAGTCTGCAAAAGTAGTACAAATTAAACTTAAATAATTTGGTTAAAATTATTTAATATAAAAAACATGAATTTACCACCAATTAATATGGATTAGTTCAACGTGAAATTCAAAGGAGAGATTAGTACGAGTAAACTGAACAAAAAACACTTAAGCGACTCTTCAAATATCAGGAAGAAGGAAACAGGTCCATTAATGAGATTACATTGACCTGGTATGGTATTAACACCCATAACATAAGGTCCTCGTAAGGGATTGTAAGATAACAAAAAAGGGCAACAGAAGTATTATAGATGCTTATGTACTAAAACATTTCAACTTCCTAGTTACCACAAAATAACAATAGAAGTCATTTCTTACCGCAAACCAACTACAGTAGGTCATAAGTTCATCTGTGTCAAGAAACTTGCTTCTAAATGCACTACCTTCCAAGGCAACAGGAACAAGTTTAAGTTCTATAGGCCGCAAAAGGGCAGTCTTCTCAGCAACCTAAAGAAATAGAAGGATCATGATTTAAAAGCATACTAGCAGTGTCATAGTTTAAATTTAAAAAAAACATTAACAACAATAATAAAAGCAGGAAGCAAATATATGTAGACAGGCAAAATAGAGAGATTAGCAATGATGGTTAAAAGATTCATATAATAAAAGTGGTACATAAATAAGAATAGCAATTGCTCATTTGGGTGGCAAAGGTTGAGAAGAAGTATGATAATGATATAACAGCTTAAAGCCACGCATAAACTTTTTTTTTGATAGGAATGTAGGCCTCGTTAAAAACCCCCTTCATGATTAATGGAACACTAAGTGTTTCTCAATCAGCGGAAGGAGGAAAAGAGTGCCTTAGGATTCATTAAAAACCACAATATACATAATGTTTAACAACAACACATAAACACTCCCTGTACATAATCCAACCCAAAGACTACAAAAGCAAATCACAAATGTAAAACTAGCCAATACCAGCTTTGGCTAAACTATCAGCCTCAACATTGGCTGACCTAGCAACCCATCTAATAATACCATTCAACTCCCTTAACTTAGTAACAATATCTTTTACTAAATTAGAGTATACACCGGGACAGAGCTCAAAATTCTTGACCCACTCTACTGCAAGCTTACTGTCAATTCAATCAATAAACGTTCCTTCATCTGCTGATGAAACGGCTCAAAAAAAATTAGGCCCCTCTTAACTGCCAACAACTCAATCAGCGCCGGAGGACCTGGACCAGAAGGCTCTTGAAAAGAGCCCATCACCGAGCCATCCTCATCTCTAAGAATTCCCCCAACACCACTCTTCCTCCAATCACCATTCACTGCTGCATCCACATTAAGTTTAATAAAACCCTTTGGAGGAGGAGACCAAGACACAATTTCAATGATCGAACACCTTGACTTAGAGCAATAATCCCCAATAGTAGGATCAGAGATGAGAGAGTCTTTTAGAATAGAGACATCCTTGGTATTCGTTATGAACCAGGTCGCCAGCCTACATCTTGCCATAAAAAACAGATCGATCTGATCGAGCCTACCCCCATCAAACACAATGTCATTCCTATATTTCCATATAGTCCATAGCACCACACCTGGAATATATGACCAAATTCTAGAATTAGGAACCAAATGCTCCCAAGCTATCAGAAAACTTTGAGCATTGGCCTGCAAAACCGAACTAACACCCCACAATTTCAAAAATTTCATCCACAATGCCCATGCCACAAGGCAAGTAAAAAATAAATGCAAAGAGGATTCAACCTCTTTTTTACAAAGGGGACATGACACATCTATAACAGCTGAAACTCCTCTCCTTTGTAGTTCCTGTTTTACTGGCAGTCTATGATGCACAACCTGCCACAAAAAGACCTCCACTCTGGGAGGCACCAAACCCCTCCAAATGAATTTCATCCAAAAAGAATCAGCTGACAAAACAGGACTGCAAGCTTTAACACTGGTCTTAACAGAATAGATCCCATCCCCGTTTCCTCTCCAAACCCACCCATCAGACAGATCCTTGGACAGAGGTATATTGTGAATTAAGGTCATCCCGATCGCAGAATTGAACCAGTTCCCAGTCACTCAAACTCCTTCTCAATTGAACATGCCAACACCAAACTGAGGACTTGAACTCACCAAACTCTTTTAACTTCCCATTTTTATTTACAGACAGAACAAATAATCTGGGGAAGACCTCTTTAAGAGGGGAAACAGTCGCCCAATTATCAGACCAGAAACTAATTTTGTCCCCACTGCCTACTCGAACATCTAATACACTTCGAAATTTAGCTCCGAACTGGTCATCTTTGAAATGATTATTGACTATCGATTTCCAAATCCAAGAAGAAAAAGCAGGTAGTTTTTCCTTGAACATCAACAAACTAGGGTCCAGATTATACTTACTACAAATAACCTTTTTCCACACTGACCCTCTATCATTCGCAAACCTCCAAGACCACTTTCCTAGGAGTGCTCTATTCATGTAATTAAGATCTAGAACTCCTAGACCACCCGCACTTTTTGCAGAGCATACTGTCGACCAGTTTATCCAATGGATTTTTTTAACCTCTGCCCCTCCTCCCCATAGAAAACTGGCCATAATGGAGTTTAGCTTAACAATCACGGAAGAGGGTATTTTAAACAGGGACATGAAATAGGTGGGTAATGAGCATAAAACAGCCTTTAATAACACTAATCTTCCTGCCACAGACAGAGTCCTCGCCTTCCAGCTGGCTAGCTTCTTGTTAAATTTCTGCACTATCGGATCCCACAACGCTATAGAATTTCTCTTAGCACCAAGCGGTAATCCCAAATATTCCGAAGGAAAATGTCCCACTACACAACCAATAGTATTAGCCCACTGCAACACCTCTTCCTCACTGATATTAATCCCAAATAATCTACACTTAGTGAGGTTTAATTGCAGTCCTGAAATGACTTCAAAGACCCGTAAGACCCTCTTGACATTTAGAATCTGTGTCTTCGAAGCCATACAGAAGATAATGAGATCATCTGCGAATTGCAAATGTGACAAATTAAGAGCTGTATCATCCTTGCCAACAATCAAACCACTGAACAGGCCCGAAGATACTGCTTTCCTAATCAGTAGATTAAGTAACTCACCAATGAAATTAAACAACAATGGTGACAAGGAGCACCCTTGTCTAAGACCTCTAGCCATAGGAAATTCATCCGTAGGAACCCCATTAACTAGCACTGAAACCGAGGCAGTTGACACACATTTCCGAATCCAGCCACACCATTTTAATCCGAATCCCATTCTAACCATAACTTTAAATAAAATATCCCAATCTACCGTATCGTAGGCCTTCTTGAAATCCACCTTCAACACACAACCCTTCAATCCTTTCTTCCTCCACAAATCAATACCTTCATTAGCGATGAAAGAACAATCCAAGATTTGTCTACCCTGAGTGAAGGCAAATTGTGAATCACTAACAACATCATCCATGCAACACCTCAACCTTCTCGAAAGGCACTTGGAAAGAATCTTGTACATCCCACCTACTAGGCTAATTGGTCTGAAATCATCTAAACCCCCAATATTAGAGCCCTTTGGAATTAGAGTTATGAACGAATGATTAATGTCATGCTCCCAATCCTTTCCCAAGTAAAAGTTATTGAAAAAATTCATAATATCACCTTTCAATGAAGACCAAAATTTTTTGAAAAAACCCATACTCAGCCCATCCGGACCCGGAGCTTTGTTACTATCACACGAATTCAAGGCTTCCAAAATTTCGCCTTCCGTAAACTCCTTTTCTAGCATAAGACTCTGCTCCATTGAAATTCTTGAGAAATTTAACTTAATATCCTCCACTTCCAAGGTAGTGCGGCTATTGAAAGCTTTGAAAAAATGCTCTTTGACAGCAGACTTTAACCGGACCGGGTCCCTGATAATAACCCCATCTACACAAATAGCATTTAGAGCGTTCCTCCGCCTCCTAATGGAAGCACAAGTGTGAAAAAATTTAGAATTCCGATCACCATCTTTAACCCACTTCTCTCTTGAATTTTGAAACCAGATTTGCTCCTCAATTCTGTAAAGTCTCCAAAGCTCATCCCTCAGTAACTTCAGCTCTGATGAACTATCAATAACTCCTGAAATTCGATTCTTCTGAAGAGAGTTCTCTAGGTGATGGATCTTGTCTTCAATAGCAGAAATCTGTTTACTAGGAAATTGATTCCTATTTCCAGACCAAGTCTTTATAGCAAACTTAGTGTCTCTAAGAATGCTCAGAATTCCTGCTTTTTTTCTGACCCTCTTGAACTCATTAATAGACTCTGCAACTTTCTCTTGGAAGCCGTCCTCAGTCATCAAATAACTAAACAGCCTAAACGGCCTCTTGCCCCAATTGTCTTCCCCACTCTCCAAAATAATAGCATTATGATCAGAAATGGACTTTGTCAACAGCGATTGGGTAATATCAGAAAACTTAGAAAGGAAGCTGACATTAACCAGAAACCTATCCAGCCTAATAACAGTGGGGCAATCCCGATTACTGCTCCATGTATAATTCCCCCCTATTAAAGGTAAGTCGATCATCCCCGTTTGCTGAATGAACAGAGTGAAAATATCCATTGAATTTCTATTTTGAGACCTGCCATCCTTCTCCTCCTCTGTTAAGTAAGCATTGAAATCCCCTCCCACATATAAAGGCAAACTGTACCCATTTAAAAACTGTCCCAATTATTCAAAGAAACTGGCCTTCTCTTCTTCCACAGACGAGCCATAAACATTAATGAACCCACACCTAAATTGATTGAATTTGAACTTCCCAAAAACAACAATAAACCTCCTATGGATAAACTGGTCTTCTAACTCAAAACAACTATCATCCCAACAACTAAATAAGCCTCCTGAAGAACCAACTGCTGGAGACACAACGAACCCCTGCAACTTATTCAACCCACTTCTTCTTAAAAATGAGCTTGGTAAAATCTCAAGTTTTGTCTCTTGGAGAAAAAGAAACATTGGTTTTTTCTCCGAGGATAACTTCTGAACAGCTCTCTGTTTTTCCTTTTTGCCCAGCCCCCTAACATTCCAGGACAAGATAATGAGTTTTGTCATCATATTCAATTATAAAAAATACCAAAGCAATCCCAGAATCCATCTTAGGACTTAGCTAGCCTGACTCAAACCTTTCTCCAAATCCATAATTTTTTGTAGAAAAGCATTCTTCCCTTCCTTGAAAGAAATGCCCAGCATCCTGCTTATCTCCCAAGTAGCAATCGCTTCCTCCAACAGCCCTGAGAATGTTTATGTGGATACTGTAGTCACACTAGCATGGTCTAGAGCATCCCTAGTGAGGGATCTTTTCATTCTCCTGTAAGAGCGCTTGCCTCTTTGATCAACACAAACCCCTTCAGCCAACCCAGCCGCCTCTGGACTTTTAGAATGAAAACCACTTGAGATAGGAAACCTACCCAACCTTAAACTAGAAACCCTTCCTGGCTCATCCAACCAAATTTTTCTTTCTCTGGACCTGCTATAAAATCTCTTATGACTCTTAATTAGCTTTCTCCCAACCGGGGCACTCTTCCAAGAAATATGACTAGCAGAACGAGTTGGCGAACCAGCTCTAAAACATGACAACTTTAAGCCTTCAGCAAACCCCACTTCACCATCCATACCTGTTGTATCCTTAAAACCGGCCTCAGACCATAAGCCTTGACTGCCTCTGTCTTTGTCTCCATCCCCAGAGCTGTTAGAAACATTATGAATTTGCTTTTGATTAGCATTTCCGGGCCCAATGAATTTGACTGCTGGCCCAGCCGAAACTAGTCTCAAGATAGGAGAAAAAGGCTCACTGCTCCTGTCTGAAAGGGCTTGCAAACTATCTTTATAATCCCCCTTATTTCTTAAACCCAGCCCAGCATAATCTCCCTTTTTACTACTCCCCAAATTGTGACCTTCTGACACAACTTCATTAATGTCTTTCCCTGCCAAGCTTCTTTTTGAAAACTGATTTTCTTCACCTGCTGCACCAACCCCGACAGGAAATCCCTGATCAATCCATAAGTCCACTTTCTGCCGATCTTCCACATCAAGCTGACCTGGACCTGCCATGTCTGACGAACGTATACTATCGTCTTCCTCCTCTGACGACTCTACGACTGTGACTCTATCGTCGGAAAATTTATCCGGCGAGATGCCATGAAAGAAGTTTGAAACCTGGGAAGTAGATCCCAACTTAGAAGTCACCTTATATGATCTTCCGTAGGAACCTAGAGTAAACACTTTCGGGACGTCAAAGGGACTTTCCACCCTAAGCAAAATTCTCACCATCGAGAGATCTTCCCTTGTTAGAGTCGAATTCTGGATGACCTCCACTGAACCCCACCTTCCAGCTAACTTCTGTAAGAAATTCTCTTGCCAACATAACAGAGGGACACCGAACAGCTCCACCAAACAATAAGCCATAGGCACTCCACCTTCATTCAACAGCGGTGCCAACCGATCGAACCAGAACCATAACTCCTTACTCTTATTTGACCACACATCCTTCATCAATTCCTCTGATTTGAACGTTATAACACAAGAGTTCCAAACATATCCCCAGCTCGCAATTTGAACTTCAAAACCATCACTAGCCAAACCTTTTTGAACCAACTCCAACTCAAAGGAATGTTTCACAATACCCGTTAGAGATCTTTTCACCCAACTTGAATTTTCAGTAGGAATATGCATTTCCCAAATATTCTTCTTCTTCTTCATCCCTCTTCCCCTGTCTAGTCTTTCGTAACTTTTTCCTATATGCTCCGACTCAGTCTTTTGCGAACTGCACGACACCAAGACATCTTTGTATGATCTATCATCTCTTAATCTGCTCAGAATCACAGCCTTCGAACTTGGATTAGCTTTATCAAATATAACCTTTTCCTGGACACCAACTGAAAGACGAGAAGAACCAGCAACCCTTGGTCGAACACTCTGGTACTTTGCAACTCCAACGTAAATTTTCCTCCCATCTATCCACAACCCGTTAATATTTTCAACTGCATTCCTCATCTCTGTTTCATTACCAAACTGAACGAAGGCAAAAGTGAAAGATTTATACTTTGGCCTGTTCACCACATTTGGTATGAAAATTCTCACCACCTGACCCTGATCGATAAATATGTTTCTTAGCTCACTCCTAGTGACTCTCTTACTCAGGTTGTCAACGAATACAGTCCAACTCCCGCCGGAGGAAGACTGGCCTATTCCTTTTTCTCTCTCTTCTTTCCTGACACTCTCTCTCATATTTCTCTCTTTTTTGCTTAGATTTTAAGTGAACTTTCTGTTATTTTGTTAGAAATGCCGTTTTGTTTTAGGGGATATTAGAAATGAAGAAAAAGGTGTTAGGGTTTATAACGTTTATAGATGAATATGGTTTGGATGCTAGTTTTTTCCCACGCATAAACTTGAAAATGGAACTTCAAAAGAAAGGTCAGAAACTACCTTTTTCCAGTCTACCATATCAATAAACTCCTCATCCATGGTTTCTTTTGCAGCAATCTGTAGTATCCCCTCCCTTTCTGCTTGAGTTGGCCTTTGAAGATGAAATACTCTGTCCATACGACCAGGCCGTTGTAAAGCCTCATCAATTTGCTTGATATTTCTAGTAGTAGCCATCAAAACAACCCCATCCTGTTTCTCAAACCTGCAAAAGGTTCACAGCGTGTTAGAAAAATAAAAAGACCTTACCACTTTTGTTAATAAGACTTTACTTGGTATTGAAATTACATAAACACAACCATTACAGGAGAAAAAAAGGATGAAAGATCACAAAAACAGGCAGCTCGGCAACACTGTTTGAAGGCTTCCAACAGAGGTAGGAAACCAGGCCTTCCGCCTTCCGTAAGAAAAAAAATTGTATCTCATTGCCCAATCTTTATAGAAAAACTCCATAAATTACATTCAAGGATAGATTCCTTCCACCAGCAGATACACAGGCAGAAGTAACTTAGAACCAAAATGATCAAATTATTAAAGCATTGTTTGGCTACTAGAATACCCAATCAGTTATCATGTGCAAGTCATTTATCTCATAAGCGCTTGACTAATGCATAAATAGGAATTTAGTGCCTGTGAACCATATAAACAAAAGGGAAACAGTATATTACCCATCAAGTTCCACCAGAAGTTGATTGATGAAGGCCTCATGGTCCTGCTTTTTTGTGTGGATAAATTTTCCACGAACACCAGCAAAGAGATCAAAATCCTCCACAAATATAATTACAGGTGCCTAGAAAAGGGGATTAAACAGGTCAGCAAAGATTTGACAATATAAGGTTAAAATGTGTATACAGTCCTCCCAAGGACAGCAAATTCAATATACCATACAAACACAACTGAAAAGAAATTATTCAAGAACCAAAACTAGAATAGTTATAAAAACTACAACTGTTACAGGTTTTCAATTCAAAAGAACGTTTTCAATTCAAAAGAACGTTTACATCTTTAAAGTATAAACAGAAAAGGTACAGAACTAGAAAGCTGAAAATACAATGAAAAACAAATTGCAAAAACAAAATCACATGTTGTCGGAAATATAGTTAAATGGTTTGGTCAACTAGCACAGGTCCAAGGATAAACAAGGACAAACACATTAAAAAAATTGCACGACAGTAAGAACAATTTAGATCATACAAGCATGATTATGAAAAGTAAGTTGAACATAGTGAAACATTGCCATTAGAAAATTGAACCAAGTTTAGAGGGAAAATGGAGGTAGATCCAAGGGAGATTGGAAATAAATGAACAACCAAAACATCACCATCATTCCACTTCTATAACTTACTAGTCCAGTAGAGACCTAGAATTAGAACCACTTGCCAATAAAATTTATTTAATTTCTAGCAAATCAGAAAAAACTGAAAATCAACATTAAGGCTCATAGAGGACTACCAAATCCCTTGCTGTCTGAAAAAGTTCCCTAACATTTGATGCACTTTGGCCAACCCACAGCCCAGCCTCCAACTGTTGGGCTTCAACATTGACAACTGGAACCCTTGCCTCAGCAGCTATGGCTAGTGCAAGAGACGTTTTCCCTGTTCCTCTCTCTCCAACAATAAGAACTCCCTGCATTATAACAACAGATTACCTTGACCTTGTCCATACTGAATATACAAGCTCATGTTAACAAGTTAAATGCAACTTATTTATGGTTGAATTCAAACTGTTTCAACTCACATTATCAGCCTCAGAAAAATATAAAATAGACAGATATTATATTCATGACATTGATCGCACAATATTCTTTCCAACTGATTGATGCTCTTCCATAAAATGTGACGCACTGCAAAACCCACCCAAGTATAAACAGCTCCTTTAATGACTGTGATTACCACTGCAGCGGAAGGCCCCAATAACAAATTTAGAACATGAGAACAAAAAAGGAATTTCACCCTGTTTAATGGTTGTAAGAACCTCATAACAAAAAGAACCCGGAAAGCAAAAGAGTGACCTGCAACATATCCTTCTCCCCTTCTCAGCAGAGAGGAGATGGCAACATGTCTGTAACTAGCCTAAAGGAGCAAGACCACCATTCTCATTCCAATATTTATTGCTCCTCTCTTATTTGCTCTCCCAATGTTAAAACCATCATTCTTTTTATAAACCATAGTTTCATTCTAAGCTTCAACATGAGTCAAAAAAAAGGAAACAAGAAAGTCCAACTCCAAAATGATACATAAAAAGAAAGGTAATAAAAATACAGCAGGATATGTGTCATTTTAGGAATAACATACCCTAGGTGCACGGGCACCCATTTCTTCGAATGCATCAGGGTTCTGGAGAAATGCAACTACTTCATTGATTTCCTCTCTCATAGACTCAATGCTAGCAAAGTCCTTCAAGGGAATTGGAGGATTTTTCACTCTCTGCAAGCCAAAACAAACTTTAAAATAATCTCATAGAAAACTTCAATCATTGAATATGTAAACTTTTGTGTCAGAATTGAACCTTCATTCCATCAAAAGCAGTTCTTATGGGATCAATGCCTGCCTTCTTCTTACTTTTGATCTTCCTCAGCCTATAACTGAAATAGCCTTTCTGCAAGGTAACATATAAACAATCTTAAAACTAGTAAGCTGCACCTAAAAACTCCAGTGTAGAGAAGATATATGCCTAAACTAAGCCACAACAAAGCCTCCACCAAAACACCATTGCATGAACTTGCACCCTCAAGAAAACTGTAGGTATAACAATAAAAAATTGGAATACAGTTAAAAGGCAACATTAAAAAAAAGGAAAGTAAATAATACCACTCTCCGCAGTTTTCTCATGTTTGGATCTCTACGTATGGGTCCATAACCAAGAACTCTTGGAACTTTTCTTCTAAGGAAACGGAATGCATGATACAAAATAAACCCATAGATAGTGGTTCTAATGAGAAACCAAAGAAACCAATTAAAGTCATCTGTCTTTCTGGACTTGAAATTCATTTCTGCTTCAGACTGCCATTTCAAATACCACGTGGAGGCAACAGATTGACCTATTTCTTCTGGCCATGCCATCCCCAACTGCAACCTAACCTATAACCATGGCAATGCAGAATTTTTAGAAAAATATAAGCAATGAAAGAAATTAGAAACTATTTTCTGAAACTCCATGGAGGCACTAACAGAATTCATACCGGGTAAGGAATGATAGATTCAATGAGTGGAAATACAATAACCATCATTATATCGTCATTTATATTTCTAATTTTCTCATAAACCCAATCTTTTCCATGTGATACAAATTTTGTCTTCCATAACCCAGTTAAGCATTGATGAACCAGCCTTGTTGTCAAGAGAAACTGTTGACGAAAATCCAACTCCGAGAAAGGGATATACATCAATTGAACAGCAGTTGGGATGCCGCAAGCAAGCATTTTCAGGTATAACCCATCAAATCCTCCAAAGTTCTCATATAGCATGTCAAATTCCTGGTGTCAAAAGAGAAGGGAAAAGGAAAACATTAAGCATAACAATAATGGCTCAGTGAATCATTAGAAAGGTTTTTGTGCTCATATAACCTTGATGTCAACAAAATATTCCTTATCATCCCCTTTTAGTGCAATATACATCACAGCCCAGTCATGCCTGATTCGAGCATACTCTACTAACTTCTTAGAAACTGCATAAGGAACAGCCATTGGATCCATTTCCCACCTACTTCTCTCTTCATTGTACCAAGTCTTTGCAACCACTCTATCTCGATCCAAGAGAATTCGTTCCTGCCATAAAAGAATTATATATAAGGAACAACATGGCATACTCAAAATAGCCTCATAATAGGTCTTTTCTTCAATATGTGGAAAATAAGTGTTATGATATGTGACGATTAAATATACACCTTCAGATCAATGACCTTCAAGATCTTAAGGATAAAATAATTGAACTTTTGTAACAGTAACATTGCATTCTCCCCATTTTACTTTCTAAAATGAGTGTAAAGTTAAAAAATATCTCCATAAAACGAACTTCCTGTCAAGGGAAATGCTACCTGTCTTTGAGCTACATATTGTTTGCCAAAATCAGAATCTTCCAACAGGCATCTTTTCAGGTCCGCTTTAGCTTCTTCACGCCACTTCTTCCAGCCATGGTGCAAATGTAGACTAACAGCTTTAGGAACAACAACTTCCTTATCTCCAAACATCCACTTCAATTCAACTTCTGGAAATCCTTTCACAACTTCATTCTCAGGCGTTTTTACAACAAAACGCTTTTCACTGCCAAATTTTCTCATCCTTCTTCTTACACGAGATTCCACATTCTTCTGCATCTGCCTAGAATCTTTAAGACATTGTTTTATGCGTAAAGCAAAATCCATAGAATCTTGATTAAAGAATGCCCCAAGATCTTCAGCATCCACAACACTAGGCAAAATCATCTGTTCAAAGAGCTTTCTTTGTGCCATTTTAAGTTCATCTCGAATTTCAGACCTTGAAAGATTGGTAATAGGACTTTTTGGCAGACTGCAACCACAAACCCCAATACTTTAAGTAAGGAGATGAGTTATCTAACAAAAACATTTTCAAATTGAAATTAGATTTCAAAAGGGAGAACATAGACTCGTCTACTCATGTAAATTATACAATAATTTAGAAAGACTAAAATGGTCCATATATCAAAATCACCATCAGGGCAGAGTATGCCAAAACTGTTGGAAGCTAAAATTAGAAATCATCCGCATCATCAAAGTAAAAAATGTTGGCAAGTATCGATATAATATCTCAGATATTACATATTTAAGGGGAAATTGCTATTTTCTCTTTGTAAGATAAAGAAAATAAACTTTTAGATAAACAAATAATTGCATTTAGAATAGGAAATGAGATAACTTGAAGAATGAAGGAGAACAAAAGAAACAAGATAGAGTGATCAACCATGAGAGCAGTATCATGATAGCGCATGCCATAATACAGATTACAGGACACACTAAAAATTCTATAATGTTACTCGAGCAAAATCAATTCAGATCGAACTCCAATAGATCAAGAACAACATACACAAGTATATAATAAAATATAGCAAAGTTTTACCTCTCGAATAGCTCCTTCCTCCTCATTTGGTTATTAAACCGTTGCACCAACTCCTCACACTCTCTCTCAATAAAACAAAGCTCCCTCACACCAATACTCAGTGCCGCAGTTTCTCTCCTCAAAATATCATCCTCAATCTCCTCGATTCTCTCCCATATCCCATTATATTCCTCCTCCATTTTCTCTATCCCCTCTTCCGACTTTTCCACTGTATCTGGTCCTTTCTCTTTCACCTTCCTTCCTCTCCCACCCTTCCCCTTCCTTTTCCCCTTCTCCTTCTCCTTCTCCTTCTCACTTTCCACTTTCAGAACTTCATCCACTATCTTATCAGCTCTTTTCTCTAACTCCATTTTCTCCCTCCTCAACTCCCTTAATTCCCCATACAACCCTCTCATTATCTCCCCTTGCAACTCCTCTTTCTTCAGTTTCACAGCTTTCAACAATTCTCCAACATCCTTAACATCACCATTTCCATTTCTAACCTCCTCTATTCTCCTCAACAACCCCGAAACCACCTCTAACAACCTCTTTGTATAATCCGAAAACCGGTGTTCATATTTACTCGAAGTCTCTTCCTTTTCTTCCTTTTTCCCCCTCACACTCAGTTTTTCTACCACTGCAGCCATCGCTACACCTTTAAACTCCCCATTTGGACTGAAATTTGACAACCCAATTGCAAAACAAAGCAAAGTAAAAGACAAAGTCTTAACTAAATATTGAAATGAAGAAAACCCAGATGAGGCTTTGACTTCTTTTTCCAAATCTCTCCCTCTGGGTACCATCAAGTTTTGGTTTTTTACAGGTTTGGAGCTTCTGGGGCTTCCTTGGAAGGCAAAAGCTTTAAAATTGAGCTTAATGGAGAGGGTTTTGGCGGGCTTCTTAATAAACTTATGGGTTCTGAAAAGGTACCTGGTTCTGAAATTTGGAGGGGAGAGTTGAGAGAGGCATGGTGAAGTGAAGATGGAGTCCATTGAAAGAGTGAAGATTGGCAAAGCTAAAGGGAGCCTGTTATTGATAAAATAGTGGAAATTTGGTGGCCATTTTGAAATGTTTGAGGATAATTTTGGAAAGGAAAAAAATTGGTAGCCTGCAACAACGGAGAAGAAGAGAGTTTCAGAGACGGGAGGTTTATGTAGGGATTAGAAGATGGAGATGTAAGTTTGGATTGAATCGGGTTCACATTTAATCATTAGAATAAACTACGAATTTAGAACATAAACTATTATTTTAGTCTATTTTAGTACATAAATTTTCAAAATTTTTAAAATAATACCTAAAGTTTACTTTTTATTTCATTTTAATATCATTCGTTAAAAATTTAATGTGTTTAGTACCTAAATTATCATTTTTTATCCGTTTTAGTACTTAAATTTTTTTTTCAAAACTTAAGTATGATTTAGGTATTAAATGTGTTTTGGTACCTAGACTTTCATTTTTTTCAAAACTTAATGACATGTACTAAAATGAAACAATAACTAAACTTTAGGTATGGTTTTGAAAAAAATTGAAAGTTTAAACACTAAAACGAATCAAAACTGATAATTTAGGTATTAAATGTGTAGCTTACCCTTTTGTTTATTACGTTTACGAAGGGTCAAAATATAATTTTAGTCCCTTTTTATATTTATATTTAATATTTAATAGGGTTACGTTAGGCACATACTTTGAGCAAAAAATTCTTTACGCACGATATAGTTTGAACATTTATGTTTGCATTAAGCCATTTATTTTTAATTTATTAATGTTCAGTGCATGTTCGTTTAAATTGTTAATATTGTCTTCTTGTTTGTCTGTTTGTTTTTTTTTTAATGTATTCGTGTTTAGTTCGTTTAGCATTTGTAAACAATTTCATTTATATGATTCGAGTCTCCTAAATAACCAACATTCTCTTTTTACTCTTTTATTTGCCGGTCAAAGAAAAATTGTGAAATTATGTCACTAGTCCTTGAGCTTCTTATGTAAAATCTTATGTCACTAGTCCCCTAAAAAAAACAATTGTCTCAAAACCAACTAATTACATTATCATAACCATAAATACAATGTATATAACATAGTTCAAGTTTATAAAATATGAAACTCCAAATAATACAAATCAAGTAACAAAGTACATGTTTTACAAAATAGATTTACAATTGAAACACAACATAAAGAATATGAAATGCATGTCCTCTACATAAATCAAAGAAGTGCTATGATGCGAAAATCTGTCTAAATGATAATGCTCTTCGAACTGTTTATAGATACTTGCGATTGAATGCTAAGTTACAAGCTCAATGCCACACAAATAACTCAACTATACTATATGTATTCATAACACAAGCATCTGTACAGGTAAAGTTATGGAGGCATTACTATCAATGTCATGCATATTCACTGTCACAATAATACAACAACATCAAGGATGATGAGGTACGAGTGACATTTGCATAAAACACTCATTCATAAGTAGATATCGTGATTTAGTTTGGAGTCACATGTGTATCACATAACTCACACTCCTCTAACTCACTAACATAGGTACTTTGGGTAAGATTTGTGTCACATTTGCATAGGGAATATACATCTAGTGACCCCCAAGTGACCAGTACCCCTAGAGTATTTTGTTCATCATTTTTCATTTTAAGCTGAAAATACTCCTATTTTAGAACATTAATCATTTTTAATAGACATTTTTCATCCACAAATGGATCTTTTGTCCCAAAATAAAATATTATGGGCCAAAGTGCTAAAAAAATAATATGGACAAAAGTGAGTATTTAGTCAAATGTTAGGAGCATTTTTTGACATTATGTCTAACCTGAATTATGAATAATTTAAATTTTTTTTTGTGGTGGATGTAATTACTTTGCTCTGGCAGTTATGAAAAATTTATAATGCGTTTAATGAATTCGTAGATAAATTTTTATATAGTGAAACTTATTCCTGAAGGATTTAAAATGTCACAAACTATATTATTTAAGGATATAAAGATTAATACACTCGTCAATGTGTTTTCATAAAGACATATGAATCAAAATATGTTGTAATTATTATTTATATATCCATAATTTAAAGATTGTAAAAACTCATCTTTAAATTAGAACTTTTGAAGAGTTTCCAAAGCATCCTCAATGAAGGTATTTTAGACAAAAATCTTGAAATCAAGTTTTGTTTTAACTTATAGATCGAATATTTAAGTATAAATAGAGACATTTTATATTTAAAAGAAGGGTAAAGAAACTTTGGGTCAAAAAATGTCATATCTTAGGGGCCGTTTGTTTACTGTTGAATGGAATCATTCAGCGCTGAATGTTGAACCGTTCAGCATTCAGCGTATTTGATTCTCACCTCTGAATGAAGAATATGCTAAATGAAACAACAAAACACTGTTGAATGATTCAATACTAAAGTACATTCTTAATCATTAAGCACCCGGTATTTTACCATAATACTTATTTTTTCACATGTTGTCTTATTAAACAATTATATCTTATAATATAATAAATCAATATGAAGGTAAAAATTAAAAAAATTCATAATTCATATTGTACATTCAGAACCATTATTCAAACAACATGTCACATTCAGAGTCAATTCATACAGAGCCTTTGAATCATTCAGGCCATTGAATCATTCAGCGCTTAATCATTTTATTTTATCAAACAACCCCTTAGTCAGTCTAAAAGCATCATATCTTAGTCAGTTTATAAATATTATTTGAGTGTTATAAGATTATTATATTTCGATCTTCAAACATTATTTCATGTTTATATAAATTATGTATAATTGATATACATGAGACAAGTTGATAATGTGTTTGGCTAAAATTATTGATACAACACATTCAGAAGATATACGATTTGCTTTCATATGATAAGATGTCAACTGTTTCGTACGAAGGTAATGTATAATGTATAGCTCAATTGAAAAGAAGAAACATCAAAAGAAATATATTTCCCTTAAATTTCATCTCACATTATCTTAAAAGAAAAATAAAACACAAATATTCAATGAATCCAGTTAATTGTAATTTGAAAGATTTATTCAGCAAAACATTATCGAAATTATAATATGAAGATTGTATTCAATATCGAATTGTAAAAGTTTAAATATCTTATGTGATATTATTATGGGAGGAGTGAATACACGGTTTTTGTCCGTTGAATTTTCTTGATAATGGTTTTTAATGAGACAACATATTACGCGTATTAAATAGATGTATGCTATTTTTTCTTTGTTAAGATTCTTTTTCATTTTAACCAGATTTTCACAAGCACATTATCTTTATAAATGTAGGAAGAGAATTATAAATATTTATTTATATAAATATATATTACGATTAAAATAATATGTATTAAATATAATTTTAATATACGTTATTATTAGTACTTTAATATCTATTAAAATAAAAATTTTATACATTCATTATACATATAAATATAAAGTTTTAAAAAAATATTATATAAAGTTTAAATTAAAATAATAATACAATATTTTCTCTTTATTCTCGTATCTCTTGTTCTTCCCTGGTTCTTTCTTTTTATTTCATAATAATCTCAAAACTATATTTTGTCTAATTTTTTCATTTTTAATTGCGTGTTCTAAAGAAGAAATCCGAATTGGATTTCCGCTTCAATAGCGGTTCTTCTTTCCCTCCGGTGAGTCAACTCGTTCTCTTACCTCCGATCCCAATTCACTGGTCCTTTAGGCAGTGGCTCAGCAGAGTCCTTCTGGTCGAAGTTAAATAGAGCTTTAACTTAAAATCGCGTCTTCATTTCGACTATTTCTAGTCTTAGTTCTTCGTTTCTATAAATTTTATTATTTTAGGGTTTTCAAGTGACTTAGCATTATGTTAATGGAGTTGTTTCAGGGATTCAAAGGAGTTCTTATTTAAAAATGAGGAAATTTTGGAAACATGGGTTCTTTTTGGAGTTTTTTTTCTTCTCTTTTACTGCTCTTAGAAGTGGAAATTGTGTTATAAATTTGATTACCTTTTTTTTAATCAGGGAATTGCTTAGTTCAAAATGACAACTAACCTAGTATCTGTTAGTTGCGGCCACCTTTTTGTGTTTATATTATCATTTGTTTTTTGTTGGTTGATGATTTGCTTTCTGTGATTTTTTCCTAGTTAGGGATTTGTTATTGCGTAACTGTATTTGTATGGAGCAAATTTTTAGTTAGAAAAATATTAGGATCTGATTCAAAAAATCCAAACATAAATGTAGAAGTTTTTAGTTCTGGTTTCCTGGGTGTTTTTAATGCGTTCTTTGACATAGACACCATGACAGAAATCACTTGCTAGTAATTTTGAGGTTAGTCTAGGAAAATAAAGGAAACTACTTGCAAATAATCAAGAATGCTTGCTATCTCTGCTTCCTTTTTGTTGTATGGTGTGACTACGTGATTTTCTTGGTTGATTAATTGATCCTTTGCTTGGTTTGCTGATATGTTTAGTTTACATCTTTAGAGCTGCTGCTTCGGAGGGTTATTCCCTTTCTTGATGCAAGTTCAATAAAAATGGAGGAAAAATACAATGAAGTGGAAGATGTTGACAGAGCCTCCAGTGATTCTTTTTTTGTTGACTCAGATGATGGTGAACCATCAACATCTGGACAAGATGATGGATTGCGTTTTGAGGCAAGTCAATATTGAAAAATCCTTTTAGCAAAATGGCTTTTCTAACTCTTGAAATTCCTTTTTTCCCCTGGGTATAAATGAGGAAGTAGGGAGTATTGAAGAAGGGAATTGGACCTTGGACCACAACCTTAGAATAATGTCTTTCCTAAAGTAACCACATGCAATTTTATTTTGTTATTTATATCTGGCTGAGACTGATGCTGAAAAGCTTTTTGGATTCACCTGAGCATTTGGCTCCTTGGTGAATTCAATTTTTGACATAGAGCTGGATTTGAATCCTCTCATCCCCGAACTATAAAAGAAAAAAGCTTTATGGCTTGCTATATGGAGAAAAAGTTGGGATTAACTAATCAAAGCCTAAACACCTTCCGTTCCTCCTTTACTCCTTGGACCACAAAATAATCTAATGGCATGCCTTGTCCCCTTACCTATTATACCATGTCCTAGGATATTCTTCTTTCCTGGTTTGGTACCAAGGAATTTGGCAATTGATTTTATCTAGTCTTGTTTTCCATTCATTGATATAATTTCTGTCAAAAGTCACATATATTCATAATGAAAATATCTTACGAAGATTTACCTTTCAATGCTTAAAATTTGTGTTTTAATGAAATTTGTTGTAAACTAGTCTGTATAGATTCAGCAGTTCTCCCAATGAATTTTCTGGTAACCTTTTTTGTTAGGTGGAGGAGATTAAAGATATTGATGGCAGTTCCGATAATCCGGTCATTGCAGATGCCATAGAAAATTAGAAAGAGCTGATTCTATCTGAAGATCAAAGGAAAATTTTTAGAAAGGTTAGTGTTGTTTGATGCAATTATTCTTTGTTCCCAGACTCAACTGCATGGAAATGTATATTTCGTTTCTTATATATGTCTGATAATATTCTGTCATGTTTTGCAGTTGATACATACTTTTTTCTCTCCCTAAATGTTACCTTTTGCTTGAACCTTTTTTCCTTGAATTGATTATCTGGTCTTTTTGGGAGATACATCTTGGGTAATGCTAATCTTGGTAGTGACTACTGATAGAATTTGTTCAGGGTCATGGGCATTCCATATTGTAATACATGATGATATGTTTTCTTCTACAGTATTCTGCTTGTCAATGTTCTAACTCCTACAGCACATCTAACCTTGCATTAACATCTAAGATTATTGACAGGTCAAAGAGGAAGATGATGTAAATACTGACGGGAAGTTTCAGCTGCATTTGAAACAGAAGAGACATCGAAGGAGATCAAAACAGGTTTTACAGTTAATTACATTTTATTGTTTTTCTTTTTAGCACATATGAAATAAGAAGAGGAGTTTGAGGGTGGGCTGAGTCAGAAACATCGTCAGTGTCATTTTAGCTTGCAAAATTATAGATTGGTGTTACTCACAGTGTGCAAAATTGCAGATTAGTGTTCTCCATAGCGTGCAATCTGGCACGTTTCAAGGTCTGGTCTGCTTACTGCTTTCACTAACTAGGCAATTAATTTTACTGATTCTGTCAGTAAATGAGGTTGAAACAAACTTCAACTAATTTTTAAGTCAATGATTATTGATATTTTGTGGTTTCTTCGATTTTATGTCTTTGGGACACATTTATGAAATCATTTGTAGCTTTCTTTGATCAATCATTAGGGTTTCATTTGTTTAACTTTTATGTTTAAATTGTCTTGCTTCTTCTATTTCAGATAAAACAAGGAGTATGAATGATTCTCTGCACGAGAAAAATGATTATGGGTTTATTCAAAAGGTATGTGAATATCTATTTATTTATGTGCCTTTTGTGAAACTACTTTATATAATGGCTTGTGTCTATATTGATTTTTCTTGTCACACTGATGCTTGAATGTTTCTTGTCACTAGGGTTGGTGGACAGACCTTCTTCACCAAAATATTTATAAGGAACTTGATTACAGCGGCAAAATGGTTTTGCTGCTTGACATCATAACCATGTGTTCAGATGTGGGTGACAAGGCACTGGTTTTTAGTCAGAGCATTCCAACTTTAGATCTGATAGAACTATATCTTTCACGATTACCGAGACGTGGAAAAAAGGGGAAGTTATGGAAAAAGGGGAAAGACTGGTATAGGTGAGTGTATTTCACTGGAAACTTTTAGGAAGTTGTTAAAATTGTTTAGTATTCTCCCCGTGTAACACTGTATCTCTCTTTTAATTCACTTAGCTTCTTGATGAAAGTGTGTTTGCATATGCCGGCTTTTTTTAACAAATGGCTTTTGCCACTAAACATTTTTGTATTATTTTGTAAGCATCTCCCGAAATGTACCTGATTTTGCTGGGAAGCTGGTTTATTTTTCATATATAACATATTGTGATCTAGGTTTCATAAATTTGATTGTTGTAAGAAATATTGAAAACAAAGATGTCTGAAGCTCTCTTTTGTTTGATACGTGTGCCATACAGACTGAATGGAAAAACAGAAAGTTCCGAAAGACAAAAGTTGGTTGAGAGGTTTAATGAGCCGACGAACAAAAGAGTCAAGTGTACTTTGATCTCTACGAGAGCTGGCTGTCTTGGGATTAATCTATATGCTGCAAACCGTGTAATTATTGTTGATGGTTCTTGGAATCCTACATATGATCTTCAAGCTATATTCCGGGCCTGGAGGTGGGTTTAAGTCCATTAGTTCTGTTAATTTTGCCTCGCATGTTTTAGCTGCATTAAATGTTTGTTATTATAGGTATGGCCAGAGAAAGCTGTTGTTTGCTTATCGATTGATGGCACGTGGGACTATGGAAGAAAAAATTTATAAGATTCAGGTAAGGGGAACAATTTTGCCCTTCATTAGTTTTTGTTTCTTGAATAGCCTTTTAACTAGAAAAATGGTGCAAATAGGTGACAAAAGGTCTTGCTGCAAGGGTGGTCGATAGACAACAATTACATAGGACTATATCTAAGGAGGAGATGTTACATCTGTTTGAATTTGGTGAGGAAGAGAATTTCGATACTTTGATGGAACTTAGTGAAGAGAATGGAAACCAGAATATGCCTAATCAAGGTGGAAAGTCACTGAACCAGAAGATCTCGCTCTCTCATGGAAGCTGTTCCTCTGACAAAGTAATGGAAAGTTTACTTGTCAAACATCATCCAAGGTACTCTCAATCTGTTCTCATCTATTGGTTTCAGCTTTTATAAGCAAGGAATAGGTATTCTCCATTCTTTCTGTTACCGGTTATGCTCTGTTTCCTTTACAAAAAAAATAAAATTAGAAATTTCTTTGTCTGATTCTGCTGTTTGAGTGCTATGTTATACAAAATAAAGAAATTTCTTTGCCACGATCATATAAGTTTGACATTAGTCCCTTTTTATAATCGGAGTAACTTAGATATTGATGATGTTTTTAGGTGGATTGCCAATTTCCATGAACATGAGACCCTTTTGCAAGAGAATGAAGATGAAAAGCTCTCGAAAGAAGAGCAAGATATGGCTTGGGAAGTCTATCGAAAAACCTTAGAATGGGAAGAGGTGCAGCGAGTATCCCTTGATGAATCTGCAGCAGCTGCAGATCGCAGGCCTGTTGTTCCCAATGTGCCCCCTCCTAAACCAGAGCCCGTGAAGAATCACCTAACAAAACCCCAGGGCATTTTCAGGAGTCGGATTGTGCAACGGAAATGTACTAATCTTGCCCACATGCTCACTCTCAAAAGCTAGGGCACAAAATTCGGTTGTAGTACTGTATGCGGTGAGTGCGCCCGGGAGATAAGCTGGGAGAATGTAAATAGGGACAACAAAATATCAAGGTAGCAAAGAGAGAATGATCAACTTATTCTCCATAATATCGAGTTTCCAATGTAATTTGTTGTGATTGTACATGACAGCTTATGAGGTCAGTTCAATCCCCCTTTTTTAACACACTACCATTCTTTTTGGGGTCTGGGTGATGTTTGGATGGTATCCATGTTCTGATTTGAAGATCATAGAGGTGACCTTTTTGAAAATTTTGAAGGGGCTCATAGGTTGTAGGCAATGAAAATTTGAACTGGCTGGCATTTGCCCTCTGTTAGTCTTTGTATCTCTTTCAATGAAATGAGTACGTCACAGTTTTATGTGGCTTGTGGTGCAATATATCTCTGCTATTTTACTGTTTTTATATAGCAAAAGTGGTCCAGGCCTTAAATAGGGGAAAATTACACCAAGTTTTTGGACTATGCCAGTGTTTGTGCCAGGCCTAAGAATACAACGAAACCATTACCCAGTATGATTTGTACACTCGAAAGCAATGTTTCAATTTAATGCAATGATGGTATATGTGGTGAAGCTAACATCTTTCATCTCCTAGCCAATTATCCTTCTCCTTCGGTCCAGTCGGCCCTTCTTCGCCGTAAACCTCCGTTGGAAACATGTCAAAGATGTTCTCCACCGAAAACCGAACAAACAACGGGAGGAGGCTAATTATCTTATCCAGTTCAGACCTCGAATCGTATACTATGGTTGGACCCCATTCTCTCATGTACTGCAACCAACATGGTTCTGTAACTACCCCATCTCCAATGTACTCAGCTGCAACAATCTGATACCTAGTGCTTGAATCCACAAAATATTTGCTTCGAGCAGCATCGTTTGTAATTCCTATTCCGAGTTTAACTACCCCTTGAAGATAAGTCCCGGGATGCGGAAAACTAGCATGACCATGTTTGGATGAGTAAATGATTGGCTTATTACCTTCAATAAATTCCAAGTTGAACGCATCAACCCACTCACCACCACTATGCTGTGAGAAGTATACCTTCCATAGTTCTCCGGTGAAGTTGCTAATCCGAAGAGTGAAGTGTTCCCAGTCGCCTACATGTTGCCCGATTTTGTTCATTTGTATACTCATTAACCCGATCTTAAGGTTGGCCGGTCCGTTGAAGGGGCAAAATATCCACATGACAATATCAGTAAATGTTCCACCCAATGCTGGTTTTACATGAACATAGAGCTCTGCACTTTCCAAGTTTCCATTTCTAACATTGTTTCTTGCATTATCATCCCTTGGTAAATCTATCCAAAATGCACCATCGTTTCCCCCTCCACTAGGCAAGTTAGAACCCGAATAATCAATACGTTCACCTTTAAGCTTGCCTTCTTCGTACAATAGTGCCCCGTTTTTGAAAAACCATTGCACGGAAGACGGCATACAATCTTCATCGGGATGAAAGAAAACTGTTGCACCGTAGTGCTTGATGAGTGCATGGATTTGGTTCAAATTCGGCATTGCATGTAATGAAGGTTCAAGATTCTTCAAGCACGCAATTTCCAACTCTTGATCTTCGGAAACAAAGTATGTGCAGCAGAAGAATGTCCCAACGGAAACACCTCTGCAGAACATTCCCCTTTTGCAAGGTCTTGTGGTCCAAACCTGAAACGTGTTTGCATCAGTGGCAAGCAAGGTGTCCATAATTTCACAAGTCTCGGTAAGATCTTCTCGGACACACCTAATTTCTTCCACACAAGGCTCACTTGGGGTGTCGGTAACCACAATTCCCATCGCTTTGTATCCCAAAGGCGGGTTCGGCAGCCAGAAGAAACCAAAACCATTACCATAATCTGTACTCCAAACCAACGAGTAGTTAACAGGCTTTCTTAGTGCAGGGAAGTCTGTATCAGAGTCATAGTCACAATAAACTTCCGGACTCGAGGGTTCCCTCTCCCGAGCGGCAAGGACATACCCTCTCAACGGCTGGTCATTTGCCTGACAATAATAACCAAGACAGAAGAATCCATCCGGAATCCCCACAGGTTTATAAAATGTGACACCTTTCTCTTTACCTCCCAACAAGCTGCAGCTCCATACACTCTCGAATTTCGTAATTGTAATCGCTTCCAATTCTCCTAGGTTAATTTTTCCTGTAGCAAATCCTTGACCTGAGAATAGTGGCAAGTACATCATTATCAAAGTGAGTTAAACATATCAAGCCATGATGTTAGAAAGCACAAGCTGCACAACTACCATAGAATTATCACTCTCTGAAGCAAAGGGGGTGGGAATAGGATGCCCCACACCTCAACAAAAGCTTAAACAAATAAAAAAAGAAAACTAAAATTCAATTAAAACATAAGTAGAATAAGATACTAGTCTCTTTTATGCAAGAAAAATCTATGTCAAGCATTGAAAATTCTACCTTTCAAAGTTTTGGAGGACAAAATTCATTACAAGTTTAATACTTTCAAGAAACCTATATATTTTTTTAACAATAAAAAGTATTGACTAACTTCTTGCTTAAACTATTGTCTTAGTTAATTAATTAATTAAAAAAATTCCTTATGGACTTTCTTTCTGAGAGTGGGAGCCCTAAGAAAACAGAGGACTTTATTAATGGGAGATGTAAGTATATCCTAACATCATTGATAAAACCCTATTTATAGAAAGAAAAATATATATTATTTTTCAATTCAATATAAATAATAATGGTAGTTAAGTAACAAAATTTTATTTATTAATATTAATTAAAAAATTTATTTAGATTAGTTAATTAATAGATCCAAAATCAATGGTTAAACATTATATAGGATCATAATTGAAAAGAAAAGATATGGTATATGTAATATATAGGGTGGAAGTTAATCTGATGTTAGACAAAAAGGAAAAATTTCATTCAAATTTTTTTTTTATGAAAACAAAGATTAAAGAAGGTTGAGAGTTTAGAGGCAAATGAGTTTTCCAAAGTTCCAAATTCAATGCATCTGTGAGCCATTAATTTACAAACTCCAAAGCAAATAATGGGGTGGTTTCCTCCATAAATTCTATTTTATGTAATTTTAAGAGAAAGAAAGCAAAATCCTCCATAGGCATAGTCCTTCGAGCAGTTAAATTATGTTTTATTTCCATAGATTTTTATATAAATCATCATATGAAAGAGAACAACTTTCATAGAAGAAAAAGGAACCCATATCTCAAGTTATCATGATAACAATCTCAATCTAATTTTCTAGGAAATTAAGAAGAAATCAAGCAAGCAACCCCAAGTGGAAAAGGATAAGAAAAAGGAAGATATTTGAGTTTAAATAGAAAAAAGGGCAAAGGCATACATACCTAGAGGCCATTGTGGGATTGGAGAAGGCAAAGAGTAAGGCCGAGGCTGAAGGGAAGGAAACTCAACATCAATATGTTGATGCCAACAGAAACATTCACAACCCAACATCTTAGCTCCTCAAAAACTCAGAAACCCACAAATTTATCTTCAATTCCTTCTTTTTTTTCGTACATATAAAGAAACCCCAAGAGGAAGAGATGTAAGAGAAAAGGGAGAGAAAAGTTTAAAGCAATTCCTCTCTTTCTCTTTCTGTGGAAGGAACATACAAAAAAGACAGGTTTTTTCTTGGACGACAAATAATTAAATAGAAAGTTTAAATGTCAAGTTTTGTTTTTGAAAGAGGTAAGGAAGTTTGGGTTTTGAGGGACGGTGATGAATTCAAGCCTGGGTTTTGTTCAACAGAGTTATGTTGAACTGCACGATGCAATTATTGTACTCTACTATTATATTCGCATGCCTTTCATGTGCATGTTTTGATTTTTTTTTTTATATCTAATTTGTTTGATCTGGGGGATTTTACTTCGGTTTTTTATTTAAATATCATTCAATAAGAAAAATACTTTTTGAATTAAAACTTGTTTTAAATTATTTCAACATTAATAATTATTTTTTTGTACTTATTCCGTCCGACTAAATATGTTTTTTTTATTTTTATAATTATCCTATTCAAACTATTTTATTAGAAAAATAAACAAACAACAACATTTATATTTTTGCATGTCCTACTATTTACATCTATCAAAATAAATTTATCAAATCTATTATAATTTTTAGGGATAATTTTATCATTTTTCCTGATAAAGTACATTTCCTAAAACTATGTATATAATCAATATAAGACATAAATTATGAGACGAATGGAGAATAAGATTATCACGCGTTACCTAAATGAGTCTTTGAATAAGCATCTTGCAGGTAGCATCTTCATTTTGAAATACACATCCTACAGACAATATCTTTGTCTATGTTATGATACAGACGTTGTAAAGAATTTTAAAAGAACATGCAAAAGATTGGAAAAGAATGAGTCATATATATATATATATATATATAATATTCGCAGTATGTGTCAAAAACACATGTTTGAACAAGTTGTGACAAACAACGACAATGGCACGTGTATGAATCATAGTTTTCAAAAACGCGCCTAGGCGTGGTTAAGACGACATGCTCAGGTGGGTGCAGTGCAAAACGCCTTTGGAGAGATAAGCTCTATGTAAAACGAGAAATCCTCCTAGGCACGCTTTAGGGGCTTTTTTGCGTAAGCACTAAGTCCACTTCTACCTTCTTAGGGACAAGAGATAAAGTTTACCTACTCTTCCATCGTTTGCCTCTTTCCACCGCTTGCGTCTATTGAAAATTCAAAGTACTGATTAGAGAAGAACCGTAAACAGAAGCTTACATATTCCAGAGGCTATAGAAGAGGGAGATAATGGTATATAAAATGACCTTTGAGATGATACAATGAATATTATCTACAATTGTTGCCAAAGCAATTAACGATAGAGTCAAAGTATATTAAATGACTTTTGGGATGATATAATAAAGATCATTTGTAGTTGTTACCAAGACAATTAATGGTAGAGTCAGCAACACATTATCTAAGTCAAACATATATGATTTGAGCCGGATGTAAAAGAGCTAAATGAATGGTTATCGCATGTAACACCTCGATTTTCGGGTTAGTAATTTTGGATTGATCCGAGTGTGTTTTAGATGAACCAATAATCCATTAAGAAGCGTTGGCCCAGGTTGGGCTTGCTTTGGATTTGGATTGAGCCCAAATGGTTATAAAAAGGATATTTTTGGTTTGAGATCAAAAAATAAGGGATCAAAAGTGTAATTATATCATTCAAGAAAAAGAGGCTGATTTTTTTAGATTTCTTATAGCTTTGGGCGTGGGTTTTGGGTGAAAGGTGAACACTTGGACCATTATTTTCTCTTTCCTTCTTTCTTCTTCATTTTCTTCTTCATTTTCTTCATTTTCTTCTTCTTCATTTTTTTCTTCCATCTTTTTCAAGATTCAAGGAGGAGGTAAGGACTTCTTCTATGTTCATTTTTGTTATTAATTCGTTTTTATGCCTTCCCCAACTTTTTTTGGTAATTCAAAAGTTTTGGTTTCATGTTATGGAAAGAGTAATGTATTTCTAATCCTTTGTGGTGTTATGATTTCCATGTTGAACCGTGTTTTATAATATTTTGATATAACAAATTAAGGCAAAATGTTTTTGGACTTGATTGAATTTGTTCAAAATTTTCAAAATTAATTCGAAGTCCATTAAACTAAAATTTGAACACAAAACAGTTTTCTGGGTACGTAGTATCGATACTGTTCTTACAGTTCGATACTACATGAATAATATCGATATTGTTCATGTGGTATCGATAAAGTAGTATTGATTCTCTCTTGGTAGCATTGATGATACCAGTTGTTTTCTAAATTGTTCAAATTTCATAATGCAAAATTAGTACTGTTATTCAAGGGATATCGATACTATTTTACATAGTGGTATTGATACCATGATCCCTAGAATCGATATTGCTCTAGTCCAACGGTCTTTAATGGCTAGTTTATTTAAATATTACAAAGGAAGTATTGATACTCATTAAAGGAGTACTGATACTCCATGTTCTAGACAATTTTACTTTTGCAGAAAATTCATCCCAAACGGCTATAAACAGCCACAAACTCATTCCAACATATAAAAATAAGTTAAGAACACTTGAAGAAGGTTACAACACCTATACAAGCAAGAGACATTAGAGAAAAGCTTTTCACTCTTTATTTTACCTTTTTTTCTTGTACATATGTGTTTGAGCTTATTGCAAATCTTTCAATTGTTTTTTCTTGTGAGCTCAATTCTTATAAACACCTATCTTTGTGAGGTTTTCTTGTTTACATCTTTCAACCTTTGCAAAAGGGGATTGATTCTAGTTTAATCATTGAAAAATTAAAATTTTTGTAAAGATTTCTCTTGGGCATTGAGTGATTGAAGACAATGTCTATATGTACGTGTTAAATCAAAAAAATATTTTAATAATAATATTTCAATAAAAAATCTTTTATCTTAAATATTGATTGTAATTTTAACTATCTATATTTTATTTTAATATTCTAATTTACTCTCAATTTAAAGGAATTGTACTTTCACCCTCTCTTCTCTCTTTTATTTTATTTTAGGTTTTGTGTTCAAGAAAAAAATAAATTTTCATCTTTATATTTTATTACCTTCAAATTTTCAATTATTTTAATTTTCTTTCCACATCACCAAATAATTTTTGGCTCTTTTCTCTTTCCTTCTTATTCAATCCTTTATTTGATATTTTTTTTCTTTTCCTTCTTATTCAATCTTTTTTCTATTCCTATTTCAAACTTTATAAAATTTCTTTATCTATAATTGTTTTTGTTAAAGTCTTTTAGAAATATTTGTACTATATTTAAAAAATTCATTTTAGTACATCTACTATAAAATTGAATATTTGTATCCTTAAATTATATTTAAAAGTTTATTCTAGTCCTTTTATTATAAAAAGGACATTTTAGCCCTTGTACCTTTAACAAGTGAATATTTTAGTTCAAAATTTTAAAGTTGTTGTTAGCTAGCTTAAATATCTTGACTTAAACACCATTTAAGTCCATAAAAATTTTGAAATTGAGCATATTGACCTATCTTGAAAAAATGAGAGTAATTTATTTAGTGTACATTTCGAAAGCCAGTAAATAAAAAACGTCCAATAATGGTATTGTCCCTTTTCATCAGTACTTGACAGTGGCGGATGCACTAAGCCCCGTAGGGGTCAAGTGCATCCCGTTATTTTGAAAAAGTGGTTAAATTTAATTTAATGTGTTAAGGAAAAAAGAAAAATATTACAATTTTTGCATACCCATTATTTTTAAGAAAATAAAATTAAAATTTTGGATCTCCTTCTTAAATTTCTAGATCCGCCCCTGGTACATGACATGTGTCTAATTGTGAATAGATAATTTTTTCTAAATAATTTTTTTAAATATAACAAAATTTTCAAATTTTGATTTTTTTTTAAAAATTGATGAAATTATAATTTTGTTTCATCCTTTTCAAGTAAACCCTTACTCTCACTCTATATCTAAAAATTATAATTAAATTCTTATTTATTTTTATTAACGATTTATTATTTTTATAAATTTTTGCATGAAATTTCTTAAACACTTGTAAAATCTAAATATGTGTTTAAATTCTAAACAATTTTGAATTTAGATTTCATAAATGTTTAAAATTTTTATGTAAAAATTCATATATATATATATATATATATATTGAGAGATATTAGTTTGGTTGAGTTCAAAATTGAGAGGGGCCTAAAGAGTGTTTAAATAAAAAATTAAGTCAAATACTAATAACTATTTTATTTTAGACCAAAAATATATATTTTTTCAAGTATACAAAAATTAAAATGATTTTTAAAATATAATATACAAACTAAAATACTTTTTATAGTAAATAAATTAAAATAAACTTTATAGATATATTATAAAAAAATCTAATAGACTTTACTCAAATGATTTTTCAAAACTTTATTTCTAAGTAATGACTGAACCAACTTTATTTGATTTTTATGAAATTCAAATAAATTTATATAGATATTTTATCTCTTCGGCCACGAAACATCACTCGTTTTATGATAAGCACATGTATGAAATTACTTCATGAAAAGTACATAATATGTATATATCATTTAAAACTTCACCTTCAATTTATTTAATTAATCACTAGTATTTGATCTATTGATTAACTAATCTAGATTCGGCATTACAGAGGCGAGAGCAATCCTCCCAATCCAATTTGCTCAATTCGCAAACGCTATTAATTGAACCCTTGACCTTGCTTAAATAATCTATTGTCTCGTCCAATTAGACCAACTGATTATTGGTTCACTTTCAATCTTTTTTATTTGTATGATAAATACAATCTTTTCCTCTTCTATTTTATGTGACACGCCGTAAGAATTTAAAAGCATGGTAAAGTACACAAATGGTCCCCGGTAATAGGATATCACTCGACTATTTATTATATTTCAAACTCGTTTTTTTTCGTAGAAAAATTAACAATTGTTTATGTTATAAAATAAATAAAATATGCTTTTGATAAACCTTGAGGACTATTTTTGACATTATGCCTATAATTTACATAATCTCCATCACTAATCATTTTGTTTATGCTTTTGTTTTCAATCATCCACTCATTTATTTTGTTCAATTCCCCATTTGTTTAACAATACATATATGAGAATTCATAATTAGATCAGTTCAACAAAATCTTACACAAACTCGTACCATAGATAGAAGATACCCAAAATTGATTACAATATAAAAACAATAAAATAAAGGGAAAGGAAAAATATTTATTTATTTGCACAACATATTGTAAAAAATAGAAAAAATAAGTATTAACCATGATAAGATTGATTAACAAAAGAAGTGGAAGAGATGCAAATACAAGTAATAATTTGCATGGAAAAAAAGGAGTTTTGATCTTTTACAACTATCTCATACATGCAACAACAAAAAAAGAAAATCATAGCATTAAATTGTAGTCGTAACATAATGTAGTGACTTTATCGTAACGATTTTTAAAGTTACTATGACATTAGAAAATGCATCTGTAACATAAAAACATAATTACTTTTAGAAGATAGATCACGTTGTAATGTTCGTAATAAAATCACGACACCGTATCCACAACAGCAATTTAACACGATGATTCAAACAATGGATTCGCTATAATTATCATCCGCATCGCTTAAGTGACAAACTTTGTTATTTTTGCCGATGCCTTGAGATTCAGGTTCTCCACAAGTGATCGAAATCTCAATCCCCAAAGCATTACTAAAGCATGAGAACAACTTGGTGTTTGCCTTTCCTCTCTTCCCTCTCTTCGATTTACGGGATCCTCTGGCCGCCGACGCCGGTGGCATTTTCGACCCCCACCTCTCTATCTTCATCTCTAGTTCTTCTTGTTCCCTCTCTTTCCTCGTCCATTCGCTTATTTTTGGATTTTCTTTCGTCTGAACTTTAGTATGTACCGGTGGCTTGTACAACCCTTTTGCGATGGCGGCGGCCACGACCGAAACTGATGGCCCGACGTCGGTGCCACAGTCAGAGCCACCGTTCACCATGCTGCCACCGTTCACCATGCTGCCACCGTTCACCATGCTACCACCGTTGATGACGGAACCCTTTGCAGGCCTTTCGACTGAGTTATCTTCCATTTTTAACTCGGTTCTGTCGCTCAGCGAACGGATCATTTTGGGGATTACATTAAACTTGTACCCGTGACTTTCTGTATTATTATCGGTTGTTTTGGGTTTAGGTTGTTGTAAGAGAGGCAAGCTCCGCATGGTACTATCAACAAGAGCAACCTCCACGTTTATAATCCCTTGTGGACGCCCCGAGGGGCGGCGTATTTGAAGCGTGACGGATCTCGCGGCTGAGTTGCTGTCGGCTTGATCGTCGGTGACGGACCGGAGATGGAAAATATCGTTGATGTTAACATTAACACAACCAACCAAGGCGTCTTTAACCCACGCAGCCGCGTAAATCTCGATAACAATCTTGGAGTCATCGGAGCTAAGGAACTTGTCATCGACTCGGAACGAGAACTTGTCGTTCCAAACTGGATTTGTTCCGCCGGTTTGGTCAATACCGGTGGTGAGTTTCCGGTCGGGTTGGACCCAAACAATAGCGTAGGTCTTCATGTTCTTGTAGACCTCAAAGAGGTCATCGGCGGAAAGGATTGTGACCTCGAGAACCCTGGAATGAGCCATTGTGGTAGCACCGGACCGGGCCGCGGCGGGGCGTGAGTCACTCACAATAATCAATACAGGTGATGCATGCACAAGCTTGTGATTGAAGGCCGGGGGAAATAAATATTGGGACGAAGTATGGGGCGAAATGGTAGGGGAATTTGTTAGGTGCCATGGATTTTAGACCATCACCTTTTTTTGAACATGGCTTGGTTGTTTTCTTGTCCAAAAGTTTATAGTTTCGAATTCTCTATAAACAGGATTAATAAGGTTTTTCCATCGAATTAATCAAGTGATTTTAGTGATAAAAGGAAAAATTATTTTTCTTAAAGATTTCGGGTTCAAGCTGATATATCTATAAAGTGTGTGTGCGTTGATCAGATACTACCTTATAATCACCTCATACAAGGTTATGGGTTCAAGCAACTATGTTTGTAGGATGTGTATGCGTAATTAATGTCAATTGATTAAGAAAATTCTGAACATATACTACCTTATAATTAGCTCATACTATTAAAGAAAGGTTTTTAGTCTAGGTTTAACTTTGGTTTAATTTTACATTTCGTTATGAATAATTGATTTTTGTTATATATATTTTTAGGTCAATTATTTTTTAAAAATTATTAGATGATTACAAGGTAGTACTTGTTTAAACTTTTTAATTAATTTACTACATTCTTTGCAGACGTAACTTCTCGAATCCGAATCTTCTAAAAGAAATAATATTCTCTTCATCGCTAAATTTATTCAATAAATTCTCAAGTCAACTATTTAATGATAAGGTTTAATAATATAAGCCAAATAGTTATAAAAATATTTATAATAAATTAGAACTTTATGAAAATTTATATAAAATAAAATAAATCAAAATTCCAATAGGTTACAAATCAATATACAAATAATGGTCCTATGAATATATATATATATATCCTTTAAAGTAAATACTAATTGTATTATGAAAAAAAAATGCTAAAAGTCATGTTGCAATGAACATTATGTCTATTGGTCGGTTAGTAAAATAAATGAACTTTCACGATAGACGATTTAAGAGTTGATGCATGTTTATCCTATACCACTATCGATCGTAGATTCTATCTCTACATAGAGTCAATGTTTTGATTAAATCATTAATTTCATTTATATGAAAGATTGTTGAAAAATATAAATTTTAAGAAACTATGAGGGATATTTTCATTGGGTAAAAATGAATAAATATGGAGATTTAAATCATAAAATTATGGTTTTATACTATATTTACGAAACATTTACAATAATATATCATATACTAAAAATAGCTGAATGATGAATGAGAAATTAATGCTAAAAGTAAACCACTTGTAAACTATACTAAAGAAGAATAGAAAGCTTATATCCCAACAGAGTTGAATGTCAATCAAATAGCAACCAGCAAAACTATTTTTAAAATGATGGAACTTATTCAAAATTATATTCTTTTCAAAGTTTTATTTCCTTTTCTCTCGTTCTTAAACTCTACCAAACAATAAAGAGACCAAAAAAAATATTTTCATTGTTTTCTTTATTCCTTTAATTTTTTATCCTTTGTTAACATAAAAATGATGAATTTGGAACATATAAATAACCGGATGATCATTTTGAAACTTTTAATAGTTGGGGACTCAACAAAATAACACTCTATAGTAAGGACCATTTATGTACTTTACCCATTTCTATTTATTTTTCATTCCTTTAATTCCCCCCCTAAAAGCATACCTTTACAAAATTAAAATTATAAACCAATGTTTGAAATAGTATATTAACGAAAGCAATATATGAACAAATTATTGCAGACAATGTTAGCAAACGTTTCAGGTATTCTGTCATGTAAGAAATGCAAATTTCTCCACAAATTTCCTTAAATTTCAATAGCTAATAATTCTTGGTGTTGAAATTATCAAAACAAGTTTGATAATTTGTCCATAAATTTACTTAAATTTCAAAAATGTTATTTCCATTTAAAATAAGTTTGATAAAATAGTTCTCTCATTCAAGGTAGGATTTCATCTCAAAATGGCTACCCATCGAGCCTGAGGCTGTTCCCTTGTCTGATTTTGTATTTGCATTTCCGATGACTTTCGATTTCATTATAGCCATAAATAGGACCCCAAAATTAAATATAAATGTGTGCATGTGGAACTATTTGTTAAACGTGTAGGTTCATCCTCCAGTAATAGATAATAAAATCGATTCAGCGCCGGTTTAGGGTCCCATGTTTAGGGTCACCTACATAAACACCATCCCTCAACCACTTCCTACACAGTTTAATACCTATTCTATCCCATGTCCTTTTTGCATTTCCTTACACAGTTTAATTCCCATTTTGTCATCAATGTCATGGGGTCATTTTTGCAATTAACTTTTTTTTGGTAAATTATCTTTTTAGTCTTTTTTAACTTTTATCAATTTAGTCAATTTTATTCCTTAACCTTTTGATTGACCTTTAAATTTTAAATTTTTGTTTTTTATTTAAATATAATAGAATTGTAACAAAACATTTAAACTAACATGATTGAATATAAATTGTTAATTGACTAATAATCAATGTTTATCGTTAATGGAACAAGTCTTATATATCTAAAGTGATGACATAATATATGTCATGTCATCATTTATGTACAAATGACATGTGGCAAGAAATGTGTCATGTCATCACTTATGTATATGTGACATGTATAACATCATCACTTTATATTTGTCACGTCAATGGCAAGCGTCCGTTAGTCAGATAATAATTTACATCCATTCATGTGTCGTTTTGCCCTAAAATGAAACGTTGGGAGCTAAAGTGTTATAAAAAGATAAGGACCAAAGTGACTATTTAGTCAAATGTTAGATACACTTTTTATCATTATGACTAAAAAAATTAAGGGAAAAATAATGCAATAAAATTATGGACTGAAATGATTAAATTGATAAAATTAAGGGATAGAAAAGATATTCCGACTATTTTAAAGAATAAAAATGGAAAAAAGGAAAATGTTTTTTATATGCAAGAAAACCGGTGGATTGAAAGCAACAACTGTATACATTTAGTATTTGTATAAATATATGCAAACAAGTCAAATAAAATAAAGAAGAAAAGAAATTAAAGGGCATCATATAACACAAATTTGTCTCCATCTCCCTTTTTCTATATATACAACTATGGGTTCCTTATCAACTCAGAGTGGCCGTAAACAAATGGCACCAAAAGATTCTAACACCATTGTTCCGGCAACCAAATACCATTCCTCGAGACGAATCCCTTCTTCATCGTCATCGTCATCTTCACTCGGATCTTTGTTTTTTCAAAGAGATTCGCCACTCCGGTTTTCGGGTGTACCGTTCTCCTGGGAGCATTCTCCAGGGGTCCCTAAGAAGCTACAAAGTCACAAGAAAAAAGAGTCCACGAAGTTGCTGCCATTACCTCCCCCGGCAACTCCACCGACCTCGAAAAAAGCATATGAGAGTTTCCACAGGGATCCATTTTTCGTGGCGATGATCGAATGTTGCAAGGACAATGACAATGGGGAATCATCGAGCAATATGTGGACCGGAATCAAGGTGACAAGGAGCATCAGTGACAGGTTCGGATTCATTAATATCTACTCCACCTGTAAAAGAACTTGTGCCGTCTCGGAATCGCTGATCTATCTTCCGAGGCCTAGCGGAACACCCAACTACAACCTAATTACTCCTCGATCTCGTCGAATGTAAGTTGTGCAAATCGAGTTATCACATTTCTGGGATTGTGATGTTTGTTTCCTAGTGAATATTAATTCATTGTGTTTGTTGTATGTTCATGTGATATATGTTTTTTTTTTAAAGAATAAGAGTGAAAATTACACTACACCATGTGAGAGAGCTAAGATCCATTGGCTCAGCCACCATAGAAAATGACTGTTTTGGTCCTTTGGATACTACCGGGTCTCATTTTCTGTGAATATTATTTACATTGCCAAAGTTGAGCAGTGTTTTGGGATATTGGGATGTGATGGTTGTTGGTTTAGCAATTGTATTTGATATATTGATCGATTATTTTAAACTAAATTTTATAAAAATTTATTATGGGATGACTCTCTAAACCTGATTTATTCAATTCAGAAACATAAGGAACTTTTTTATTACTATTAGGCTTAATGTAAAAAAAGTGCCTAAACAATACATTTTTCCTAAAATGTCACGTTTTGGTCAATCTAGGTGTCTAGCATTACAAATGTTATCACTTTAAGTGATTTGTTCGTAACGGACGTTAAATTTCACCGTTAGATGAAAATGTCACGTTTTGGTAATTTTGAATTTTAAATTTTTTTAAAAAAAACTGAAAAATATTATTACATTTTAAAAAACCCTAATTTTTCTAAAATTACAAAAAGCCTTAAATCCTTAAAAATACCTAAAATAAACCCTAAAATCCATAATCCTAATCTTACATCCTCCCTTGTCGACCATGATCGGCAACACCAATGCCTCCCTTTCCATCTCCCTTGCTAGCCGTTATCGTATGTGCTGTCGTGGTTGTTGTCGAAGTTGTCAGGTCTCCTTAATTGGGGATTTGCTGGGTTTGATTCATTGATTGAGGGTTCATCAAGTGGTTGGGTCATCGATGGAGGTTCGACTGACGACAATGGCAACAAAGGGTGGCGACCAGTGTGGGTTAGGGGTTGAAATTAGGTTTTTTTTTAAAGTTTTGAGTTTTTAAATATTTTTGAAAATTTTGGGTTTTTTTTAATAAAAATACTTTTAAGTTTTTTTTTGTTTTTTGTTTTTAATTTTTTAAAATTATCAAAACTCAACACGTGTCGTTTAACGGAGTTTTTTAACGCCTGTTACAGCTAAGACACCTAAAGTGGTAACGTTCATAATGTTAAGCACTTGAATTGACCGAAAAAAGTTTAGATATCATTTTGAGAAATGTGATATAATTTAGGCACTTATTTTTATATTAAATCTTATTGTTACTATAATTTTGTTTGTGTTAGTAAATTAAATCCATTAGTGAGTTAGACCAGTCTATTGTTTTATTAATAATTTAGACTATAAATATTACTAATATGTTGTAATGGACTTATAACGAATAGGTTTGTAACTCAATTTTTCAAGGGTAAATTATACTATTTGTCGTAACCGGTTTTCGTCCGGGCACGAAATATTTATTTTGGCGGGGAATTTGATGTTAATAAATAATTTTTGAAAATAATTTAAGAGTCGCCATCGGCCTTTTGGGTCAGGTAGGTCGAATACCTAAAAATTATTTTTTTAAAAGAGTTTTAAAGAAAACACTAATAAAAAAAATGAACTGATCTGCGTTTTATAACCAAAAAATTCGTTCTTTTTAATAAAAAGGGATTCGTGGTCGGTTACGTTTAGGGAAGGATTAGCACCCCTACAACGCCCAAAATTGGTACTTTTTAATTATAAATTGTCTCTATTATTTAAATTTAAAAATTAAAAAAAATATATTTAATTCTTATTATTTTCAAAATTATATAAAAAATATTTATTTATTTAAAAATATCCAAAAAGAACTTCTAGGTGCTTTAAGACAGCTCTTTTCTTTGATATTGATAAATAATATTATTTAATTTTTAATTTTAAAATATCAGAATAGGACATCCAGTTGTATTAAGACTGTCCTTTTCTTCTTTTTATTAAGATAAATATTTAAAAATTACTATTTATTATATATATATTTATGAATATATAAAAATATTTATTCATAAAAATAAAAATACTATTAAAACAATATATTTAAAAAACAATAAAATAAAAGAAAACATATAAAATAAATGACTAAATTACAGTAAAAATAAAATAAAAAATCTAATTCATAATTAATCAAAATTATAAGGATTAAATATGTTATTTTCTTATTTAATAATTTAGTGACTAAAATAAAACTATCTAAAATTCGGATATTATAATAAAATAAATTAAAAATATAAACTAAGGATTAAAATATTATTTATCAAAATTAAAGGACTAAATATGAAATTTATCTTAAATATATTATTAATACGGTTAATGGCTAAAATATAAATAAATAAAATGTAGAGACCAAATTAAAAGAATCAAAAATTTGATTCAATGACTAAAAGGTAAAGATTACAAACTAGAGGGATGACGGACGAGGTTAATCTTTTTATTAATTACGGACAGATCCCTCCCCAAAACGGCGTCGTTTGGGGAGGGCTATTTAAGCCCATTCATAGCTGGCCCGAAGGGCCAGCAGCTCATTCCTTTCTTCTTCTTCTTCTCTCAAAAACGAGAGAAGAAGCTCTCTCTTCCTTCTCTCTAGCTTCCCTCATCGGAGGGAAGCTGGTTATCGGTCGGCCACCGTGGGCCGCCGTTAGCCACCGTCAAAACCACCGCCGGCCACCATATCCGGTGGCCGGAAATTACAAATCCCACCCCAAATTAAAGCCTGTTTTTCCCTAAAGCTAGATCCGTAGGTTTTTTAGCCTAAAATACTACTGAAATGCGTAGATCTAAAGTTTATACCTTCGACCTTTGACTTTCCGATGGCTCCAAAAAGGCTCTGATGATCAACGGTTCCCTCGGTAAGTTTCTTTTCTTCCTTTTTCCTTTTGTTTTTGCTCTGTTGTGGTGGACTGGGATCGTTGGTAGCTGTTGTTTTCTCTGTTTTTTTTCGGTTCTATTTCTCTCTTCCTTTTTTTTTTTGTTTCTGTGTCTCGTTCTGTCTCTGTTTTTTGTCTCGCAGGTGGGTGGTGGCTTTTATAGCCACCACCGGTGCGGTCATCGGACCGGTCCGAAGAGAGGGCTTTGGTGAGTCACCGGACTACCAGTGGTGACTCACCCCGTAGCCTTGGCGTGGACGGCCGTCGTTGATCTTCTGGAGCCTTCATTCGGGACGTGGCAGCGGCGGAGGCGTCGGCAGTGGGCCATTGGACCACTTGGCAGTGAGGCGGCGGCTGGGATCTGGAACCATCAGAGGCGGCTGGGTGTGGCTAGGGTTTAGAAACCCTAGCTGAAACCTTACTAATTGTTTAGGGTTTCTGGTTGGCTGGACCGGTTCTAGTTGGCTTGTAACTGGGCCGGTCCATTTGTAATTATTTATTAAATAATAATAATATATAATATATAATATTAATAATAATAAATACTAATAATAATAATAATAATAATAATAATGATAATAATGCTAATAATAATAATAATAATACTAATAATAATAATAATAATAATAATAATAAAATGGATAAAAAATTAATATCTTCAGCTGCCCCTCTTTGCTCATTATTGTGTTAACAAGAATAGGGCAAAGATGAAAAGATAATAAAATTTTTTATCCATTTGACTTTACTTTGATTATAATGGAGATATTGAGTAAATTCTTCTCTCTCTCCAAATAAGTTCTTCTTATTATGAACTCTCTGCTGGGGATGATGATGACCTCCTTTTTGTGATAGAGTCATTCAAAAGGTTGAATAAGCTCTTGATGAGTTCTTCTCATTATGAACTTTCTCTTCCTTCTTCAGATGAGTTCTTCTCATTATGAACTTTACCTGGCAATGTTGATCCATCAAATGATGAATTCAAGCAAAAGGTTGAACAAATTCTTCTCATTATGAACTTCTTCTTCCTTCTTCAGATGAGTTCTTCTCATTATGAACTTTCTCTGGAAAAGATGATTCACCAAATGATGGATTCAGGTAAAAGTTTGAACAAATTCTTCTCATTATGAATTTCTTCTTCCTTCTTCAGATGAGTTCTTCTCATTATGAACCTTCTCTGGAAATGTTGATCCATCAAATGATGAATTTAAACAAAAAGTTGAACAAGTTCTTCTCATTATGAACTTCTTCTTCTTTCTTCAGATGAGTTCTTCTCATTATGAACTTTCTCTGGAAATGAATGATCCATCAAGTGATGGATTCAGGTAAAAGGTTGAACAAATTCTTCTCATTATGAACTTCTTCTTCCTTCTTCAGATGAGTTCTTCTCATTATGAACTTTCTCTGGAAAAGCTGATCCATCAAATGACGGATTCAAGTAAAAGGTTGAACAAATTCTTCTCATTATGAACTTCTTCTTCCTTCTTCAGATGAGTTCTTCTCATTATGAACCTTCTCTGGAACTGTTGATCCATCAAATGATGAATTTAAACAAAAAGTTGAACAAGTTCTTCTCATTATGAACTTCTTCTTCTTTTTTCAGATGAGTTCTTCTCATTATGAACTTTCTCTGGTAATGAATGATCCATCAAGTGGATTTGAAATCTTTGCTAAAATTTTTGAAATTCCTGTTAAAAATTCAACATAGATGAAAATGAATGAAAATGCATCTATTTTTGCAAATGCCTAAATACGATGCATGAATGTTGAGTTATTTGATTTCAGATTGGTGAATTGAGTCTGTCTTCTTCACATCAAAGAATCTATCATTTTTGACAAATGTAGATGTAGATATAATGTCACAAAACCTCTTGAGAATAAAACTCAATAGTATATGCTATTGAAAAGCTTGCATTCAAACAACATGTTGATTCTGATAACAACTCATCTGATTATGAAGTAACCTTTCAGGATGATTTCACAGATATCAATAGTTCTTCTAATACCGAGAAATCCTGAATTCTGATTCTGATAAAATGTTATTCTTGACAAAAATGTGATTCTCAGAAGTTGAAACTTCAAATAGCTTTCTTCCGGAAAAAGGTGGGAAGCCATCATGTGATAATCCCAGTTACAAGCAAA